TACCCTTTCTTCTATTCTTCCACTGACTCAACCTTTCTGCTACCTCATGACCTCTGCATCCTTCCTCTTCTTCCCTTCTCATTCTCATAGCTCCCTCCCCCCTCTTCCCGTGCTCTCAACTTGCTCAGGGGATCTTGACCCTTTCCCCTTCTCCGGGGACCAAGTACTAAACATGGTAGTTAAAGACTGGATGGCATCTATTTCCATTAACTTGATACCCTCCTAAAAATATACACATGGAAGGACAGGCCTATTCAGGTGAGAAGGAAAATCACTGAGGTTTTCAGAAGCAGGAAAACTTTAATCCATACAACTTAGGGTACAGTTTGATTCAGTGTGCTCACAACTGTCCTTGCAACACATTCTGCTGCTTCCTACCTTACAAGATTGCAAGACACACTAACTTTATACTTGTTCTAGACAAAGAATTGCCATCCCTTTTAGTATAGTCTCTGGAAGTTGTGGGAACTCAAAACACAAGAGACAAATAGAGACACAAATTAATTATTTAGGAGCCTCTGCACTGGGGACTGTCATAATTACACTCGATGCTTTCCAGCAAGGACACATCAGTGTACTTTGGGGACTACACTGGCTGCTTCCCCAGCTCTTCAATGGCTCTGCCTTCCAGAGTCAATCTAGGGAAATTAAAGTGGTTCGATCTGAGTAGAAACCCCCATTTTGCAGAGGGTAAGGTACCTTCTTCTCGAACCCAGTGTGCGGCGACATAGCAAATTTAACAATTAACCTCAAGAGATGTTAAAAACTAGATTTACCTAAAAGCAAGAAGAATAACCAGCCTCAACAGGTTCAGGGTTAATATAATGGATGGGTGAGTCCAAACAGATGCTGCATTGCAAGTAAATCCTCTGTGACAAAAAGTTAATGGCATCCGATTTATTTCTGAATAGAAGACAAGCTAGGGCAGGTATGCAAACTTATGCAAACCAAACGGCTCTCTAACTCTTGTGCTTCCCTTAATTATTTCATATATTTCTAAATGGCCATTGGACAAAAACGCTTCATACTGCTTCTAAAGTCATTTGTTTTTTCAGTGTTTCACGTATTTTTTTTTTTTTTCTGGTCCTGGGGACTGAGCCAGAGTTGTGCGCACACTAGGCAAAAGTGCTAAGCTTGAGCCATACCTGCAGTCCTTTGTATCTTTTTTTAAAAGATTTATTTCTTTTTATCTGATGTGTATAAGTGTTTCACCTGCATGTATGTGTGTGCATCACTTGCATGTCTGGTGCCTGCAGAGAACAAAAGAGGATATCTGATTCCCTGGAACTGGAGTTACAGACAGTTGTGAGCCCCTGTGTGGGTGCTGGCATTCAAACCTGGGTCCTCTGGAAGAGCAACCAGTGCTCTTGAGAGATGAGCCATCTTTTCAGCCTCTGCCCTTTGTGTGTGTGTGCGGGTTTTTTTTTTCCCTTTTGAGTCAGGGTTTCCCTGGCTGTTTTGTAATCATAGATCTACCTGCCACTGTCTCCCAAGTGCTGGGAACAAAGGTGTGTGCTACCATCACCTGACTTGCCCTTTGTGTTTTAAAATAGAGTCTTGCTAAATTTTTCTGGCTAATCTCAAACTTGCAATTTGAGTTTTCAACACCTTCCCATGTTCTGGGGTTATAGGTAATTGCCACCACACCTGCCTACATTGGATGGGTTTTTAATCATATGCCTTACTGAGATGTAACTCATTTATTATGCAGTTAACCTAGTTTAAGTATACAGTTTAATGCCTTTCAGTAGTACAATATCCCTAGCCATAAATCATTCCCATGGTCTAAAATTTGTCATCTCCCAATGACACCCTGTACCCTCTATCAGTCACCTCTCATTTCTCCTCAACTTATCTTCCACACGAGCCCTCAGCAACAAGTGATCTGATTTCTGTCTCTATAGATTTGGTGGTTTGTGATATGACACACAATGTGTGCTCATCTTTCACTTAGCGTATGTAATTTTTTCACTGTTCAACTGTGCTGAAGCATGTTGAATAATGTCCACCACTCTGTTCCATACACTTTACTTATCCATCACCTCTGAGTGGATACTAGGATTGTTTGCAGGTTTTTTATTTGTTTGGTGGTTTTGCCTGTTATGTATACTACTGTGATGAGGATTTGGGTATGGTTCTTTTGTGGCTGTAAACTTTCACTTCTCCAGGATATATGTCTAAGAGTGGGATTGTATTATTTGGTAACTTTAGGTGTAACTTTTTGAGGAATTAACATATTACTTTCCACTACATCATTTTACATCCCATTGGCAATACATGACAGTTGTAACTAACAAATTGTTTCCCACTACATCTTTTATCATTGCTATTGTACATTATCTCTCCCCAAAATTCTTTATTTGAACATGAGCTGAGCTGATTTGTCAACATTTCATTTATAACTATCATGGTTGCTGTGAAGTGATAGCTCATTATGCTTTTGATTATTACTTCCCAACAAGTAAATATAAGCACATTTCTTATGCACAGCTTGTGTTTTTGTTTTGTTTTGTTTTTGGTTTTGTTTTTCGAGACAGGGTTTCTCTGTGTCGCTTTGGAGCCTATCCTGGCACTTGCTCTGGAGACCAGGCTGGCCTCGAACTCACAGAGATCCGCCTGCCTCTGCCTCCCGGGTGCTGGGATTAAAGGTGTGCGCCACCAACGCCTGGCTTCTTATGCACATCTTGTTCGGAGAAATGTCTATTCAAAACCTTTGCCCGCTTTAAAATGGTTGTTTGTCTTTTTGTTATTGAGTTCTATCTCTTTGTGTGTGTGTGTGTGTGTGTGTGTGTGTGTGTGTGTGTGTGTGTGTGTGTGTGTGTGTGTTGGCTATAGGAAGAAAGACTGACTTCACAGTTCATCCTTCCTGAAATAAAGCTCCTGTATCTCAAAGTTGAGAGAGATGAGGAGGGTGATGGCCTGTTTCTACTTTGAATAGGCTGGAGCTTGGGCTGGATTCTTGTTGAGAGGGAACTTTGTATATTAAGCACTGCACCATCCAGCCAGAGTGGATCACCACCATACCTAGCCGGAGGAGGCTGGGGAGATGAACTGTGCTCAAATACCATACACCTTTGTCATTCTTACTGCAGTGTTACAGATTATTTTGCATAAACACTGTTTTATTTGCTGTCTTCCCTCAGGATAATATCCAGAGATAATTTTCAACAGTTATTGTTTTGTGAGGGGTGTGTTCACAGACATAATTTAGCAGTTGAGTCTTATTTGGATGATTTGCTCATGTGTGTGGTATATGTGCACATGGGTATGTGTGTATCCATACTTTTGCATGTGTGTAGAAATCAAGCCAACGTTTGGTGTCTACTACTATGTCTCCACATTTTACTTTTTAACATAGAGTCTCTCATTGGACCAGGAGCTTGCCCATTTGGCTAGAATGGTTACCTGGAGAGGACTCTAGCATTCTCATGTCACTACCTCTCAGCTCTGGGATTATAGGCATATTCTGAAGTATCTTTTTACATAGGTCCTGGGGATTTGAACCAGGGTCCTTGTGCTTGAATGTACTTAACTCTTTGAGCCATTTTCTCAGCCCCAACCCCTATTTGGATAATTTGAAATGAAGACTATATATTTGGTGGCAAAATTTTCACTGACTTTGTTAGGTAAAATTGGTCATAGACTTATACAGGGAAATTTTATTTTAAAATTATCAAACTTATAAACAGTAGGTTAAGAAAACCAATGGGAGTTGAAGACTGGTTGAATTTCTGCTTGATTCATAGTAAAATTCTAAATGTCTATGCATTTGCCTTAACTAACCATCTTTAACTTATTGCAGTTAAATTGTTGTTTAGATAGTTTTAAAAAATGAGGTTGTGTATCTCACAAGAAAGTTTGTTCTTGTTCTAAGTGATCAATGAACAAAGTCATCACAGCTATTAAAAATCATGAAAAAGTGGTGGTGGTGCACACTTTTAATCCCAGAACTTAAGGCAGAGGCAGATCTCTATGAGTTTGAGGCCAGCCTAGTCTACAGAGAATTCCAGGGCATCTAAGGCTACACAAAGAAACTCTGTCTTGAAAATAAAAATAAAAACATCATGAAAATGATGTCTACATTAAGAAAGAAGCACAAGAATAAACCAGATGTGAAAATCAAAGTGATTAAGCTTTTACCAGTTTCCTGCACACCTCATTTTAAAAGTTCTTTAACAAAAACGGCTGGGTATTTCTTAATATCTTTTGATTCAAAATAATGAATGACTCCTGCCACAAAGTTTTTTTTTTTCTTTTGGAAAAGCAAACATCTCAATTTCCCTGTTACATTTATTTGAACTTTGGGAGTTAATGTTTAGTTTTAATAAATTCCTCAAATTCTGTATTGGAGCAAGACTGGGCTGATCAGTAGACTGACAACCAGTTGAATGCCTTTTGAAACAAGTCTGGACTGACACTTGTACCTAAAAACCTCCCTACTAGTTCTCCCCTGCTCCCCATGGATGCTCAGACACACATTATCCATGGGCTGAAGATTTCAATTGCTTGTGACAATCACATAAGCATCCTTGAGAAAACACATTGTGCTTAATAATCACGAGAAAATACAGTTTTTGCTAGATATGCCTTATCTGCTGACAGCTGACTGGTGTGCCCTTGCCTACAGTAAATTATTGGCAAAAAAGTAGAAGAGCAGAGAACTAGATAAATATTACCACCAAGGAAGCTAAGCACATCTTAAGATATTTCCCTGGATATTAACAAACCATACAGAGATTAATAATGAAAATAATGTAAAATAATTTTCTTTCTGGTTGGAAAAGTTCCCATTATAAAGTTTGGCTTCCATTGAGTGAAAAGTTAGTTTCCAACATAATAAATGCCAATAGGACCCATTCAATTCTTAAAGTTGTAATGTGGTTAAATAATAAGCACATGAATTGAATCAAAGCTCAATTCTGTTTTCCCCCACGAAGACAGAAATTCTGTGTCACGAAAGCTTCTTTGGATTGGAGGTAGGTATTTTGGGAGATGCTTACCTCCTGCCTTTGGGTGTGCTTGGATGCTCTGGCTTCTCCCCAGCCGCGGTTAGCTTGCCACTGCGCTGGGCGCAGGGGAAGCTCCCAGAGTTAGGTGTTCGGGCCCCGCCCTCTGCACTACTGCTAAAACTCCAGTTCTGCCAAACTGATTCCGATGATTAATAATTGACAAAAGGAAAACACTCTTACGCAAACTCGTGTCCAACCGCAGAGCTTGCAGTGACTCCTTCCAGAAGAGAATGCCGGGTTGCACCACTCCCCTCCCCCTTCGCTCTAAGGTCCCAACTTCCTATGCGCTGACACTCAGTCCTGGGGGATTGGGCTGTCCTCCGAGGAATGCAGCCCAGTGACTTCTACATTTTTAAAATTCGCTTTTCTGTAGCTCGTTCGCACTTCTTCGGAGATTAGCCTCTCAGGAGGGGGCGCTTTTCCCCACCGATACTGGGGGGAGCCGGGCACGGAGAGCAACCGAGGAGACCGAGGTGGCGCTGTCACCTCCGATTGCTGCAGTAAAACCCAGAGCCTAAGCAGAGATGGGAGGGGGGATGGGCGTCTCCCTCCCCCTTGTTTCGGCGGGGAGACTGGACTCTACCAAAGGGGCACGACTTTTTTTGGTAGTGGTGCTGATGATGGGGTGGGGATGAGGAAGAGAAGGAGGGGGAGGAGAGGGAAAGGAGGAGGAGGCAGCGGAGATGGCAGAAAAACAGGAGGTGCAAAGGTGAGCACTCTAAGGCTTTAACCAATGCTCAGAGGATGCCTGTCAGCATTCATCCCTTTCTGCCTACTCGGATGAGCGCCAAAGAGGCCCGGGTGTATGCCGAGCAAGGCTGCAGTCTGAAACTCAGCGTCCGGCTGCAAAGTGAGCCCAGGGGTCGTGCCCCGGCAGCGGTCCGCCCACTGTTCGTCAAAAAGCAAAGAAAGAATACGAAGTACTTCATCACCGGCAGCTAATTCTGCTGCCTTGGAACCATTAAAACAATCCCTCTCCCTCCCAATACAGTCACCTTCCCCCAGGTGCAGGAAGGTTATGGTTGAAAAACTGCTCCCACCCTTCCCTGGGGGAAAGAGGTAGGAGGACCGTGTCTGGGGAACTTGTGTGGGCTCACTCACAAGTGCAGGGAGTTATTCATTTGCAGACGACTGCGGCCGGAGGGCAAATTGGGAAAAGGGGCCGGCAGGCGGCGGGGTGCCGCAGAGACGCACGGAGCGGCTCCGGGCCGGCGTGCCCTTCGCGCAGCATCGCTGCTGGAAACCCGCAGCCAGAGCACGATTGATCTCTTTCTTCTTCATCCTAGGCAATTCTGCGTTTGACTCCGTGGCTGCGCGCTAAGGGTTCAGAGGACCTGGATATCTTCATCCTACATATCCGACCGGGATTTTTTTCTGTCCAAGATCCAGGGGCGTCCGGGGACGGAAGCCTCTCGATTAATGAACGTTTGGGCTGCCTCTGCCATTCAGCTTCCACTCCAGGAGGGGGAGGCAGCATAGGCTCCACTGGGCTGATTGTGCTGAAGCGCAAATTTGAGCTACTGGCAGCTTTCTGCTCTTTCTCACAACACACTTTCAGCAGGATGGGAGCTCCAATGCTACGCAGAGGGAGCCTCACGCTATTGGGCGGCAGTGTCTCCATGCAGGCGGCAGGGTGTCCCCCAAAGCTGAAGGTGGTTGGGGGCTGGGAAAGGAGCCAGTAGAACACACGCCAGCCCGTACTTGCTATTTCTTACAACTATCTTTCCTTGCAGCTCTTGTGAATAGCACTTTTATTTCTTAATCACTTTATGTTGGTCACATTTCTTATCGCTTGGCTTCTCCTGACACACCTTACAATGTTTGCAGGGCAGACATAGCTTACGGCTATAGAGAGGGAAACAGAGGCTCTGAGAAATTACTATTGGCAGGATAACCAAGGTTCTTACACTTTCTGGATTTTAATATATTTCTTAGTTGTTCTGCTAGACCATCGATTCTCAGCCTGTGGGGCGCGACCCCTCGGGTCACATGACCCTTTCACAGGGTCACCAAAGACTATCAGAAAACACAGATAGATATATACCTTAGAATTCACAACAGTCGCAAACTTGCAGTTACGAAGTAACAACAAAAATAATTTTATGGTTAGGGGTCACCACAAACTGTATTAAGGAGTCACAGCATTAGAAAGGTTGAGAAACACTGTCCTAGCCTGTGACATCACCTTCCACATCACTGTGCATCTGGGAAAAAGGGACATAGATCTTCCTGACAAAAGCTTGTAAAACGGGCACCTTTTGCAACTACTTTACATAGACGTTGGAGGAAACTCACACCGCTGGCAAAAGTGTCCACACCATTAAACATGGTATTTTATAAAAGGCATACAGTCACACCTTCATGTATATCTGGACACCCCCCAAGAATAGAAAATAATGGCTATGTGTGCCATGTGAATATGGCACCGAGTCACCAGATAAAGGTCATGGCAACTTAAAAGGCAGAAATCATTGAAACTATATCACTCTTCAAAATACAACAAGAATAAAGTTAGCAAAATAGAATCCCCCCAATTGATATACAATTGGAAATCTAAAGATGCATTAAATCTGGGTTAAACTGTCTGGAGTGGTGGCACATACTGTAATTCCAGCATTGGAAGGTAGAGGCAGGGCAGTTAGGAGTTCAAGTTCATCTCCAATACATAGCAAGGTCTAGGCCAGCCGGGGCTAAATGAGATACAACTGAAAAAAAAAATCAAATTAATAATAATAACAGATTAAACCTAGATCAAATACAAATGGAGAAGTTCCAAACTCTTAAGTTTACGATTTTAGTTCAAATTGAAAAGGTACAGTGTGCAGTTTGATATATGTGTGCAGTTTGCAAAGATCAAATCATTATAGTTAACATTCTATCTCTGTAACTTAAAGATCTTTTATTAGCATGTAATAATTGTAAATATTTATGGGGTACAGTGTAATCAGAAATAGTAAGTCTTAGGACTGGAGAGGTGGACTGTAAAGTACTTGCTATGCAAGCCTGGGGACCTGAGTTCACATCTCCACCACCCATGTTTTAAAAAAATGGACCTTGCAGTACACCTGTAATGCCAAGGCTTGGAGACAGATACTGGAGGGTGGGGGACAGGGTACTTGGTAGCCAAATAGTCTAGCTGAATCGATGATCTCCAGGTCCAGTGAGGGACTCTGTCTCAAAAATAATGTGGAAAGCAGTAGAAAAAAAATGCCAGAATTCAAACTCTGGCTCCCCATACATGTGTACACATGTGCACACACATACATACCAAACACACATGGGGGGCATTTGTAAGGAAAGATGGCACATAAACGTCAGGTGAGGCCATTAAACTTCCAACCTTCAGCTGCTGTTTTTTTGCCCATGAAAAGCTTTGACCCTGATGTTAGTTCCTGGAACTTGTGAGTTTATCAATTGCTAACACTGTAGCTTATGCATTGGAACAGGGAATTTGAGGAGCCAGGAAAAACTGTCTAGAACATAACAGTTTAAAACTTCACAGTTTAAAAATTCACACCCTCTAATGCCATTCTGCCCCTGACCCACATAAAACTGAAATTATAAACAAAACAAAGTAAGATAAAGTATTTACTGATAAAGCAATTAGTTATGTCAACTGAACCTTATTTTTTTTTTGGCAGACTCCCACTATGTAACCCTGGCTGGCCTTGAACTCACAGAAATATGCCTGTCTGCAGTTGCATCCTGAGTGCTGGGATTAAAGGTGTGTACTACCACACTCAGCCTTCATTTTTGTTGTTTTTAATTATGTTTATTGACTTACATGGGAGGGGTTGGGGTGCCCACCTTGCACACTGTGTATGTATTTGGAGGTGGTTATCAGGCTTGGCATCAAGACTTTTACACACTCAGCCATCTCTTGCTGGACTGTAACTAACTATTTTGTGACAGCCCTTTCATTGTCTTATAAAGTAGCTGTTGCATAATAACTAGAGAATATAGGCCACTGTAGCAGAAAACCTTAAAAAGTCACACACACACACACACACACACACACACACACACACACACACACACACAGAGT